GGAACCAAAGTTTGGTTTTAAATTTGGAAGAAGGGACAAGAACAAATGTACAATGGGCCAGATTTGGTCGAGTGCTTTGTTAACAATAGTGGAGGGGAATCCTTGCTGACAGAAAAGGAGACATCTCAGAAGTTTTGTTTGGAAGACTGAGTTATAGAAAAGATTCAATGGAGATGAAGAAATTGGGAGAATGGAATAGAGTCTATACAGGAAACAGCGAGTGAGGAAGTGCAGTTGAGTGAGGAGGAGAGTCAGTCAGCTCATTTGTTAGTCTGCCCTCAGAAATGGAGTTGAAGAATTTGAGAAAGGCAAAGCACAAGTTGGAAATGGACCAGGTGAAGGTCAGGGAAGGCTGGAAATTGGAAGCAGTGGAATTTTCCAGTTCAGCTTGAAGGTAGGAAATGGCACTAATGCAGATATCAGAAAAAGAGCTGAGCTCTTCTCACATCTCACAAAGAAAGGTAGGCATTTCCAGGAGCCAATTGGGTTCCCATAGCAGCATCTTTAACTTCAGGGAGTAGGTGGAATTGAAAGAGAAGTTGTTCAATGTGAGAAAATATTCAGATGGGTGGAGGAGGATGCTGGTGGTTGGAGACTGATTAGATCTCTGCTCAGGGTAGGAGCCGAAAGCACTGGTGGGAGAATGGAGGTGTAGAGGGTTGCTCGTCTGTGGTGCAGGTGTGACAGTTAGATTTAGGAAATTGGAAACACTTTACGTGCCATAGCTCAATGAAAAAGTCAGAAAAATTAGTAAGAGACTGGAAAAGTAATGTTAAAATAGAAAGAAATTAGATCACTAGATCAGGAGTGGGGTTTAAGGCCATTGCTGTATGTAGATCTTGGGAAGTAGATGAAAGTGGGCTGCTGGATTTAGAGGTTTATGAAGCTGTGAAGGGAAGATCTCCAGAGGAGAGGAAGTCTATGAGAAACCTGGAGATGCTAGCTTGATATCCAATAGTGGGGTCATGGTCCAGGAGTAAGTAAGTTGAAGTTTTACATACATTTAGTGTTTGGTTCTGAAAAGTACAATAGTTTGATAGGAAACACCAGCACTGTTTCTGTCAACAGGTTTGATCATTGGACCTAAGAGAATAGAGTGGTGCAATTACTGAGAGAGACAGGCCTGGAAGTTGAAAAGTTAAGATGGTTGATGTCATGGCTGAAATATTCACTGTGGCCTAGATGTTGTATTCTTTCCACCATCAGATTATTCAAACATTAGAGAAAAATTGACTATGGAGCTGCCTGAGTAAGAATGCTCATCAAATGTCAGATGGATTTTCCAGTAGGATTTGAGGAGGAGCTGCCTGGATTCCGAGCAAAGGGCCCAATTATAAATATGGAGCAATGTTGAGCCAGTGGAGTGTAGTCATCACCAGATAAAATGTAGAAGTCATCAAAGCTATAAAATATATTGATCTCTGAACCAATTCAGAAAGCAAAAACAAATTTACCTTTCTTTGGAAGCAAGTGACTGACTCCACTGCTCTCGCTGGTAACTGTCTCGGGCTGAACTGGACTGTTTACAACTTTGGTATCACAGTTGAGCCTGAGATGTGCTTTCAGCCATATTTCTGTGCCATCACTAAGATTGCATTTACACCTCCATGATATTATGTATTTTGCCCAGTCTCTGTTTATTTTCGGTCACTTGATAGCTCCATTCTTGAGTATTTCATGCATTCCCTGGCCAACCTTCCACATTCCACTCTCCATATATTTGAGGTTATCCAAAACTCTGCTGCCTGTGTCCTTACTTAGGTTGAGACCCCTGTTCATCATCTGTGCTCACATTAGGTCCTGGTTAAGCAATCCATCTAATCTAAAAAATGCTCATCCGTCTTTTCATATACCTCATAACTTCACCTCTCCCTATCTCACATTCGGCACCAACGTCTGGTAATGTACTTGAACTCCATAAATTATGACATTTTTTGTCATTCCCACATTGATGGCTATGCCTTCAGCAGCCTAGGCCCTAGATTCTGGAATTCTGTTCTGACATCCCTCTACCTCTCTTTCTTCCTTTATGGCGCTCCTTAAGAGCTACCTCTGAACAAGCCTTTGGTCACCTGTGGTTTAGTGACACAATTTGCTTTGCAATGCTGATGTGAAGTGCCTTTGCAACTTTTCTTTGATTACAGGTCCTATAGAAGTACAAGTTGTTGTTGAAATGTGCCAGTCTCAGGTTGAGTATAATAACCATTGACTCTCAACACATGTTGCTAAGTGACAGTTGTGGTTAGATGACCAGATACAGTCTTTAAAATTTACATAATGTCCCACTTTATTTGAAAACAAATGTGGTCTTTGCAAGTAGAAGTGATTGTATACTTTATAAATACAGCTTTTCTTTATTGAAACAAAAGTTCCTTTACTCAGATCAGTTTCTACTTTGTACAAAAATGCTGAATAGCTTTATCAGAGAGTATTTAGTAATGTTTGTTTAAGACCATTAGTTAATAATGAATGCTGTTAGAATGGATAATTAAGCATCTTGAATGATTTGCATAAAACCGTACCAAAGAGACAGAATCATATTCCAGCACAGTTTGAGGGCACAAAGAACAAGAATTCCCTTTTCTGGCTAATGAAGAATTCATGGCAATCTTTATGTTGTGAATGGAAGATAGAAGGAATTAGAGAGGTGGCGGTCACATAGTGTGAATGTATTGCTACCTCAGCTGGCACTGGAGAAAGGGACAGAGTAGGAAAAATCAAGAACAGCTGCCATTTCTCAGTCAAAGCAATGGAGAAATTTTAATTTGCATCATGATTAACTGAAAGCTGCTCATTGAAGATATTGACAAGGAGGAGCCTTTGACAAGAGAGGCACGGGACAAATCACGCCTGAGCTTCTGTTTCTGGAGTAAGCAGAGATTAGACTGGATTAGTATTTAGCTCTCCAGTTAGCATTTATAAAGGTGACAGAGAGAGGCTGCATTGTTCATTCTTTAAGAGTTAATGCAACTTTTGGATACATGGGGATCAGACAGAGAGGAAGATTCGAAACTGTTTCAGAAATCAACAGCTAAAGATAAAGTTAAGGAGGGAGGGAAACTGACAATGTGAAAGAAAGCCTTGTAAGAAGAGAGGACGTACAATATGATATTCAAGCCTCTACTGATGAGCTATTTATGTATCTTGATGACTTGTGCTCGGCACCACTGCAGTGTCTTTGTTGAGCTCAGCGGTTTATCAGAAGTCACCGTGTAATCATGTGGAAACCTCAATGATTGCTGCTGGACCAGACTGTCCCTACACATCCTGGATAATGGAGTGTCAAAGGAAAATGGATAGGAAAGTTGTGGTTTATTGGCTTTATGTGCTGGTTATAAACCCTAACTAGATGATGGATTGGAGGGAACTGTAAGTAAATTCCAGCATCTTTTCATGTATTGATTTACAACAGTCAACTCCAGACACCTTCATTATATTGGTTATCAATCATATTTAGTAGATTATTCTTTTGGAGTTTTGAAGGAATAAAAATTTGAAGATTATTTGAGTTTGTAAAAAATATGACCTTTACTACCCTCTTGATGAACCCATGGAACATTCCATCTTATAATGTCATTTAAACCCATTCTTTGAATTGAAACTGCAGTTTTGATTTCTAAAGTAATGTAATTTAAAATTGTTGTTGCCTTTCTGATGTCAGAGGTAGAATCTGTTCAAAGATACTGATTTAATGCTGGCTCAGAAAAATTGCTTCAACCATTACGTACAAAATTTTTTACCAAAATAAAAATTCAGCAGTTACTGATAAGTGAGGAAAGTAATTCAATTTTTTTAATACTGCTTCCATACCTAAAATAATGAAAGATATTTAAACAAAGTCTTTAAGAAGAAATAAAATTCCCTATACTTGAACTACTTTTGAAATCATGGCAAGTAATCTGGTAGTTTTTCCTGCAACATGCTTTCAGCTGTAAGAGATTGTTTCACTGAAACTTAAGAGTTAGCAGCAGGGTAAAGCTTTGTCTGTCTAAATGAACAGTAGATGTGCAAATGCAGCCTTTAAGTCCTGTTTCCTTTCACAGCCTCTCCCAAGGGAAATCCTACCCTAGACTTTATTGAAGTAATAATTATTTCATCAGGTCTCGTGTATTTCATGTCTGTATTTGGACTGGAACCTCCCAGAGGCTACAGTTGTCATTTTTATCCAGGATTGACCACTTGCACTGTTTACGAAACAGATTTTTGCACAATTCAAGGCAGGATGCTAATGATGTATATTGTTTATTTTGAAAGTTTAAAATTAAAATAATAATCTTCTGTAACTCAAAAATGCCCTGCAGGAAAGGTGAACTTTTACATCTACTTTACTGTCAATACTGAAAACCTTGAATGCATGATTAGTGATGAATTGACAAAATTAATTTTTCATCTGAGATCTGAAAATGCATTAGTGCTTTCATGTTTTGTTTCATTGAGCAATGCTGTTTTAACGAGCCACTATGGTGCCGAATTATTTATGGCCTGTTGTGTTTGCCTGCTGTTTGCACCTCTTGAGTAAACCAGAAGCAGGACTGATATAGTAATTAATGGGAAGCTACAAAAGTGACCGTTACTATATATTTTTCCAGGAACCGTAGGAATGTGATTCTTCTGAAATGCTAATAACTTGTTAGATTATAATATATTGTATACTCCAGAGTAGTCCATCTGGCCTTATAGTGACAGAAGAATGATTTCAGCTTTTATGGTGTCACTGAGATTTCTGAAGCCTTGGACTCAGCTGCTGAAGCTGTTCAGCAAGTTATAGTCTAATTGAAACTCTGCTAGGGAGAATTAAGTGAATATTGTCTTGGCTATATTTCTGCCTGAATCTGCCTATATTAGTCTCTGGACAGAACAGTCCTATGGAATTTGATTAGAATCAAGTGAGTTGATTTGTTAAACAGGGAATGATGACATTGAACATCTGTTTTGCTGGGCTAAATTACATTTGGCTCTTAGTAACCCTACTTTTTTTTTTGCCTTCTTCCATTCTACAGAGCAGCGCAGAAGCTGAATCTCTCTTCAAAGCAAAAGAAAAACCATCCGCTTCTCCAGCATTCGCACGAGCTGTCAAACAGCAGAACAAATTTCAGTGGTATTTTGCAAGTGTCCCCTCCCCCCGCACCACCATGCCTTTTGAGGGCTGTATGTAAAGTCAAGGACAACCCAGGCATTGGAAAGGTATGAGCTAAGTCCGCTGACAGTTGTTTTTGATATGTATCACTGCTGAAATCTGTGTAAATATAGATCCATTAAATAAAGCTTAAGCATCCTATGTTTCTGCTAAATATAATTTAAATTAATATCATTTAAATAAAATAAAACATATCTCTTGGTAAAGTTTTATTACTTACAGATCTATTTGATGTTGTTTTGTAGACCTACATATGTAAACTTGTGGGATTTTTCTGGATCTAAGCTGAAAACTGCAGTGGGTATATCACTTTTATAGAGCATTCATAGGGCTGGTAGAGTCCAACACTTTTCTTCATACAGGGTCCAAAAGTGTAATGTAGCACTGGAGTTTATAATGTGAACTTAACCTTATCAGTATTATTTGGTTGCATGATGTTGAACTACACAAGACAAAGGTTTGCAGTACAGACACCCACAGTCAATTTGCACACTAGTCCATCATGACACCCAACTCTGTTCTCTTTTATTTAATGTTAGGTGGTGTTGTTTAAGGGTGTTCTTGCAGACATGCTAAGTACCATTTTACCTAACTGCATTAAATGAAATTTTATTCCTCCCAGTTGGTGGGTTTGGTAAAGGGAAGGAGAGGACCTTTTTAATCAGGTGGAAGGGTATCCAGGTGGGGCACTACCACCTTCCTGCCTCCACCTGTCAATTGAGGCCCTTTAGTGGATAATTTAATACCATTTGTAGCCCTCATCCCACCACTGCTACTATTAACCCAGCACCAGATGGAAATGCTTGTTTTTCACCGAACACAACAAACAAACCCAGTTTGCATTGTTTGAGCATTCCCCAGGGCTGAAGGGGTTAGATGGTTCCCTCATTCAAAGACACTTATGTGCTTGAGTGAAGGACCTGACATAGAGAAGGAGGTAGGGGAGTGTCTGACTGAGAGCCACCTCTGTCCTTCCTGCCAATTCCCTTTCTACATGAGCCCCTCACCCCTGGTGAGTGTTGCACTGGCAGCAGCCATTGTATTTCCAATGGCACTGCTATTTGATTGAGGTGCTAGCCTCTGATTGGTTGGTAGCTCTTGGTTGGCTCGACTTCATCTCTGGGGTCCTTAAATCTTCAGGTGAGTCCTGTAGTTGGCCTGTCAAGTATCCAAGTCGATCAAGATGCGTTGGACTTCCTCAGAAAGAGGAGTCATGTGGCCTTCAACACCCCTGCCACCTCCATGAGGTTCTGCACCATGATATCGTTATGAACTATTTGGCGAGAAAGTGATATATTGAATGAACGTCCTAAAATTGTATTTATAAAATATTTCTTTAGTACAAAAGGAAACATCCATTTGAAAGTGATATATTGGCTATTAGGTTTTTAAAGAATGCTTTTCATAAGCAAACAGCATCTTTCTTCAGTGTTATTGAGTTCCAATTTATACAGAAAAATATTTAGAAAGGAAGCTCAGTTACTCAATCTTTCAATGTCTGAAATCTCATTTACCAGTACAATTCTTTTGTGGATAATAAGCGATGAGTCCCTTCTAGTCTGTTCTTAACAATAAAAATAGATGGTGCAGAATAATTGATCTATCAGCTGAACCTCTGACTCATGTCATCCGCATAGTGACTCAACTGAGAGACTGATCAGAAATCTAAAGCTGCCTATATTCCCTCAGCGATTAACCTCCAGATGCATGGATGAGTATATGCTCATTTGCTAGCATTCTTGCCTCTGAGTCAGAAAGTTACAGCTAAAACCCCATTCCAGCATATGTGCAAGTACCTTTTGTTGACCTTCCAGTAACCACTTTCACCTAAAGGTTTATTTTTGATGTTTATTAGTTGTGGTGTTCACAAAATACTTTCAGCACTTTTTTAAGGGAAATGATACGGTGTTATTGATATGCAAATCTTCTCCAGCAATGGTATCAGCATCTTTGATTGGGCTGATTTTGGTAAAAGTTAACAGCTGGCACAGAAACTCCAAAGTGTTGCCAGCAAAATATAGGTTTAAATAGACAATACCACAGAATTATAGAATCCTACAGTGTGGAAGCAGGCCATTCAGCCCCCTGAAGTACATCCCAAACAGATCGCCGCTCCCCATCCTATCCCTGTAACCCTACACCTCCCATGGCTAACCCACCCAAACTGCGCATCCCTGGGCTATATGGAAAACTTAGCGTGGCCAATCCACCTAAACTGCACATCCTTATGTTTGATTTTTTTTTTCTCATTGGAAGCTCTGCAATGCCCTGCAATACTGATCTAAGTTCAGGTTAGTCATGGCATTGTTAGAGTTGAACACAAGCTGCCTGTGGTGTTCACTTTTGCTGCTGTTCAGGCCTTTAGGATTGGATCCTTTTGTCTAACTGACTTCTGGAGGCATGAATACATCCATGGGATGTGATAAACAGTAAACCAACTGATAATGTAGGTAATATAAGGGGATCGTGGATGAATCAGAAGACCAGAGTCTCACAGAAGGTGACTGAGGCAAGCTGCTGGGGATAAGTACCGTCTTCAAGAAAAACAACAATCAGCCATGTAATTTTGAATTCTCTCAGTTATTTGGCCATACACAAATATTCAACACAGAAATTTGTTCAATTAATTTATGCTGCACACATAGTACTGCTATATTTTAATTCAAAGTAACATATGAGAAAAATAATTTTTTATATCAATACAATAAAGTTTGTAATGTCGATGAACGGACCCTGAACTTCTTCATACACTATTTATACAAATAGTTTGTATAATTAGTTCTTAAAATACCGCTGAAGTTAATTGATTAAAGCCCTATATTGTTTAGAATTCATCCCATTTAGATAATTCCATTTATGACAGCTCATTACAAAAATAAAGTCCATTAATTCAAAATTGAGACTGTTTTACTTTTTTTTCTTACATAAATAAGTGATTCATGATGAAGGCAATTTTCCCCCTCACAGTCACTGGCACTTGACATTTGCTACATTTTTTTTTTCAATCCATAACATAACTGCATGTAATTTAAGATCTAACTGTTTTGTTCACTGTGAATATATTGGTATCAAATCAAAAATCAACTTTTAATGTCAAATGGAAATGCAGGTAACAATGATAGTGCAGAAATTAACATTATTTCAGATCATAGCAAATTAAAATCCAATTGAATTCTCCATGGTAACAACTTTAGACTGTCTTCTGATGAAAATGATGGCAATGTTGCATTTACATATTGAATACAAACCATATCCTGCACTATTACATTGGGGAAAAAAAGAAAAAAAGGTACAAAATACAAATCGAGAAAGGCTATTATGCTGATCACACTGTCCTAAGATCTGTTTCATGATCAGGATCTTTCAGTTGCACTGTTATCTTGGCACCTTGTCCTTGGAGTAGATTCTAATCATGCCAGTGTGCAAAACTGGTGGTAGCTTGTTCTGTATCCTGTCCGATACTTTCCAAATGAGAAGGTAAATTGAGTGAAGTAGTTAACAGCAGCTGATCTGCTGTTGTTGATCTTCATCCCACGGAAAAAATAGAAAATTACCCATATTTTTCAATGCTTGACCTCTGTGGAAATCTATCCATTCCTTTTCAAGTGGCTTATGTGAGCTCATCTTAACTGCACTTTTCCCCTATTTTGTAAGCAATAGGATTTAAAGATTAGAAGGTACGTGTCACCAGACTTCATATACACCACTTCAAACATACATTACTGACATTTCAAGAAGAAAATCAGATCAAAATATATCTGACGGTCAAACGAATATATAGGAAATGTTTTAGCCATTTTGGTTTGGAACTTTTGATCACTAAAAGGAACTGCCTGTCTCCATGGCATAATCTAGTTGAGCATGATTAATTTATTTTTTATTGCACTTCATCCTGATTGCCCTTAAGTTGTCTATCTATTGTTGTCTGATACATTATTATGGTGCAGACTGGGCTCTGGGCAAGGACTGCATATGCCTAAGATAGGAAATGGATGCAGATGGTAATGCTTAAAAGGAAGCATTTGAAAAGCTAAATTCGCTGTTAGGTTTTTCAGTTATAAATATTATTTGGAGGCGACCAGAGGAATTTCAAGTCTGGTTCAAAACTGCTGGTTATCTTTCCTCTTCTTGTGGATAATTCTGCATAAAAGGATGGATGAGAATGATCTGGATCGAATTGCTCCATTATTTTTGCTTTCTTGACATGGGGTAAATATATCACCAATACTCAGGCAGCTTGGCTGAAATTAGAAACGTGCAATGTCAGGGTCACAGGCGTGAATATACATCTCACTACCTTGCAGCACTTTAGGCTTCTCTAGCTTGAAGCTCTTGAAGTCTGGAACAGATGCTAGCCTGGTTGATTTGTTGCATAACTTGATGGGATTTGGAGCATGCCTCTGAGGAGGGAAAGAATGAAACTTGAAATTATACCATGAGAAAAAGCAATTTTTCAAAATTTGCACATGGTGTGTAATTGTCACTGATTACTTCCTGTATATACTTGTGTAAACATCGATTTTGGGACTTTTACTTTACCATTCATTCACACCAGGGTGAGTGTGATGTGTGCGATTCAACCAACAGCACCTTGTGGAGTGGCCTCTTGCACTCCCTGAGACTTTGACTCACCATTTCCCTGACTGATTCTTCCTTCTGCTCACAGCTCTTTTCCTGCTTCCTTCCTCTTTCTCTCTCTGTTCTAGGGCCTCACAGAGAGTTCAGAAGAGAAAGTGCTGACTGGGAGGGTTGGCAGAAAGAGTCAGCCTGAGGGTGAGGCAGCAATCAGGAGAGCCAGAGAAAGAGAGTCTGTTTGCAGGAGATGTGGCATCAGCAAAGACAAGAGAGCTGGCCTGCAGGTCAGGCAGTGACTAGGTCCTCAATGAGGAACTAAGATACTTTGATCACAAATTGGGCCATGACTTTTCCACAAGAACAACAATTTCTTGAATGTAGGTGGTACTTTTCAAAATTGTGGAGTTCCCCAATTTGCCTGATTTTCAGACTCCGGTTGACAAAAAGCATGGACCAAGTTTCTGTACTGAAC